GAAACTGTACAAGGCAAACACCATGAAACTCAACAACTACTTCCTAGCCGCCGCAGGAAGACTATATCCTCTCGTCATGAAATCCGTATTCTTGGCATGGCCATCCTTAGTCTCCTTTGTGAAGAGACTGCTAATATTGTCACTAGTCCCCAGCATCTTCCGCCGCTTTTTCTTCTCGTTTTCCTCCTCCAGCACCCGCGCCGTCAGCAATGCAGTAGCAGCATTCTTGATACCACTCGAGCCACCCGGTGTGGGTGTAGATGTGTTGCTCCGACTGGCAGTCGCACTCGTAGATTTTTCCGTGGGCTTTGGTTCCTTGCCCGCATCCGCCGCATCACCATTCGCGGCGTTCTTCTTGCGCTTCTTCGAGCCGGGGGCCTTTTTCAAAGAGTGCGTGAGACCTTGTTCTGCAAGCTTATGTCCACGCTCAATGAGCTGCTGTTTGTCGGCTTCTTTTGTGGGAAGGATGGGAATCACGTTGTCGGGGGTGTATGGCTCGTCGCACTAGATCTCATTAGCACCAACATGAAGACCAAAAACGTATGGGCTGAGATAACATACCTGCAAACACTTATCTCCCTTAAGTTGGCGGATTGCCTCCTCCGAGAAAACATGACCGCACGGCACCAAATAAACCGACTTTACATTCGGACCCAACTGCTTCGCCGTGACGGGACAGATCCACCCCTCACGCTTGTCCTGCTTTCCATTCGCGGGATGGGCTTCGCGCTCTGTGTCGACTTCAAACTTGAGCTCCACGACGTCCCGGAGTCCCTTGACCCGTCCACAGAGGATCTCTTCGCAATCGGCCTTGGAGCTGATGCCGTCGGCTTCGTCGCCGGGAAGAAGGAATCTGAGAATGGCATCTTTGTTGTAGAGATTCCCGACGCTGTCGGAGACAATGGGTCGCATCAATTGGTTGTGCGATATCGGACATGTCGTCCACGAGTGTTCTTGTTGTTCACGCTGCGCCTCTTTTACTTGCGCTGTGCTGGGGTTGCGGGCCGCTTCGCGGACGAGCTCGCGACGGGTTGGGATACTGGTGATGCGGGTGATTAGTTTGTGCTTTTTGATAGACTGGGGGTGTAAGAGGCTTGTTGAGCATACCTGCCACCATCATTACCCATGTTGTCGCTGGAAAAACGAGAAAATGGTAACTGAAAAGTAGTAGAAGGGAAGTTCGACTTATTGCGCGCTCGCCACTCATTTACAGAAACAGCGGCAGGCCGATAAGGAGCTGAGTCAGCGAGCCCCAGAATGGGCGGGCGATTATCACCAGCTGGCCAGAAGCTCTCTCCGCATTCCTGATGGTGGATTGATTGATGAATTGATTGCTTTTTTGTCTTGCTCTTGTTAGTTTGTTCTCTAGTGCCCCTACACAGCATTGGTCAGGGAGCTCAATGCTGCCACTGCCACCATGATACTTCCTCAGGGATCGCTCTTCTTGGTGAGCATAGCTGCTTGCTCGACCGTCGTGGCTGCGGCGGGTGATGCCTCCTCTCGTCCCCGGGGTGTAGGTCCCGAATGTAAGTGCCACTTATATACCTACTTAGGCTGAGGCGGTGCTACACGCAACCATTCTATTCCAACTTGCATCCTCGCCATAATCTTGTTTTTTTGTCGGCATTGGTCATGCTAACTGGTTTCGTCTAATGGTTGGCAGTCGCCAAGTTCTACAAGGATACCACCACCTTCACGTGCATCTCCCACCCAGCCATCCAGATCCCCTTCTCCGCCGTGAACGATGATTACTGTGACTGTCCGGATGGCAGTGATGAGCCTGGCACATCTGCCTGTGCCTTCCTGTCTCGCAACTCCGCCCTAACACCGGGTGAGCGCCCCGGCAGCGACGATCTCGAGCTGACATCCGCCCTGCCGGGTTTCTACTGCAAGAACAAGGGCCACAAGCCCGGCTACGTCCCCTTCCAGCGGGTCAATGACGGCATCTGTGACTATGAGCTCTGCTGCGACGGCAGTGACGAGTGGGCCCGCCCTGGCGGCACCAAGTGTGAAGACAAGTGCAAGGAGATCGGCAAGGAATGGCGGAAGAAGGAGGAGAAGAGACAGAAGTCCATGACTGCGGCTTTGAAGAAGAAGAAGGATCTGCTTGTGGAGGCTGGTAGACAGCAGAAGGAGGTCGAGGACAATATCAAGCGTCTGGAAGTTGAAATTCAGGCCCAGGAGCTGAAGGTCAATGATCTTCAGGCGGAGCTGGAGGAGGTGGAGCAGCAGGAGGCGAGCAAGGTCGTGAAGGGCAAGACGGCGGGCAAGGTTAATGTGCTTGCTGGGTTGGCTAAGAGCCGGGTTGAGGAGCTTCGAAACGCCCTGATGGACGTCCGCAAGGAGCGTGATGATACCCGTGCCCGTGTGAAGGAGCTCGAAGAGATTCTGTCTAAGTTCAAGGTGGAATACAACCCTAACTTCAACGATGAGGGCGTTAAGCGCGCTGTGCGCAGCTGGGAAGACTACGCCGCCAAGGGCACCCTTGAGGGCGCCGTGAACAACGCTCAGGACCGTGATTTGGATGAAATTGCTAAGCCCGATGATGAGAAGGCGGGCATCAACTGGGAACAGTGGGAGAATGAAGAGGATGGGTGTGAGGCTGGTCTTGGTATGTAAATCATTTCAGAGTGAGGGTTATCGATGTTCCCGCGCTAACATCAGATTTAGTCTACCAGCTGGCAGCCTACCTTCCGCCTTCTTTGGTCGAGTTTATCGAAGGCAAGGTGCTCTTCGTCAGAGGTCTCTTGGAAGATAACGGAATTCTACCCAAGGCGGCCGAGACTTCTACGTCCGAATCCAAGGTTGTGTCAGAAGCCCGAGAAGCCGTGAAGTCAGCAGAGAAGGAGCTTGGAGACAAGCAGAAGCAGCTGAAGGATCACAAGTCCGATCTTGAGACGGACTATGGTGTCGGATCCATCTTCCGTGCCCTCAAGGGCGTTTGCATCTCCAAGGACTCGGGTGAGTACACGTATGAGCACTGCTTCCTGGACCAGACAAAACAGATTCCAAAGAAGGGCGGCGGATCCACACGCATGGGCAAGTACACCGGCATTGGGTCGGTCAGTGTTGATGTGCTCAACGAGGCGGGCGAGATTGTCCCCGAAGACAGGGTCACTCTTCAGTACGCCAACGGACAAGGCTGCTGGAATGGACCGGCCCGCTCGACGACGGTCATCCTGACATGCGGCGAAGAGGATGCGATCCTGAAGGTGGCCGAAGACGAGAAGTGCGTGTACTCGATGCATGTCACGTCGCCGGCCGTGTGTCCCGGAGGCGATGAGGGCGCAACTGCCCCGAACCGCAAGGATGAGCTGTGAGCAGTGATGGGACCATATTTAGGGTTATATCAGAGCGCTACAAGTCTATAGGTTTTGCTTATTTGAATTGCATACACAGCATCTGTTGTTCTGACAGCAATCATGAGCTACTGACCTAATGGCCTTAGTATTGACTAGGCAGCTGCCAACTAGCAGAACTGCTGATTAGCGGGTGGCATCGGAGTAGCTTCTGTTGCTTATCAGAATCCCGGGCTCCCATTCCCTAATGTAGCCGACCAGTGAGTGCTGTCCTTTTGACGCAGCAGACAGGTTCAGAAAGGTCCGTCTGACCAGGTGGGATCTTCCATCCTGCAATCCCAACCCTACATACAGTAGACGCAGTTAAATACTTGGTGTAGCAACCCCACCACCCTCGAAACCGATCAGACGATGCTGCAAGCAACTCACTTGGTTGGCTCGCCCCGGCTATTAACAAATCTACAAATCCCATAACAACCAGGCAATGATAAGCAGATGGAATAATAATAGGAGGTTGGTTGGTTGGTAGTTTGGGTGTTCTTTCTATGGCATTCCTCTCTGAGAGTGACCCTGGTCCACTGTAAGGTATCCAAGTATACCCCGCCCGCGGGGCTGCTGATTAGTTGGTGATGACTGCGAACGAACCTTCTTCTCCCCTTATGTTATTCTGGCTTACACAAGTACACCCATTTCTCTGATTAGCGCGGCTTTCGCGGCTGGGGATACCATCTACTAAGTTTGGCTTCTCAGGCAGTGCTGGGTTCAGGGTTCCACTCCTTCCGGTGCCTGCCACCATCGAGGGTTTTGAAACACCTGGTGGGGGAGAGGAGGAGAGGAGATTCCTTCCCCAAAGCTGAAAGAGGTAAATGGAGCAAGGCTTCGCTTTGGAGGAAGTTAGCAGGGAAGCTTAGATACGAGGCAGAATCATACCATGATCGTCCTGGAAGCAGCAGGGCATGTACAGTAATAGGAAAATTTAGTAGTTCTGTGGATAGAGGGGGTTACTTGCCATCATTATCACCACCAGCATGAATATTTTACACAAGACACTCCCCAATTCTATCTACATCTTCTACATGTAGTAACAGTCACCACAAACAATCAATTAGATGTGTAAAAAGGCTGTCAAAGAGGAAGTGGAATATAATCTTACCGATACGGGTCGTTCACCCAGCAAAGCAAAGCAAAGCAAACCCCTCCAACATCTCCGACTTGCTGCCTCACTTTGCCTTGCCTTTTTACTCCACCTCCACCACACCCACCTTCTCCTCCTTCTCCTGCTTCAACGTGGCATGATAGCTTCCCAGCATCTTAGTCGCAGAACCACTCCTTATTATTGACCGATTGGTTGTTGGTCTGCTTCCCTTCCCAAACCCCCCCACCTTGCCATGGGAAGGCCAACCATCATCCGTCTACACGCCCAGGAAGGTTTCAAGCCAGGGCACTTCCGGAATCAAGACAGAAGAAAATAACCGGCGGGCAGTTAGGAAGACCAGGGTATCCCATTCTTTGCACTGGCAAACTAACGCAGTGGCCTGTTTCATCAATCTACCTTCGATAATCATTGAGAAATGGCATGAATGGCAATCATCCATGCCCGCAACACACACTATCACTACTTAGCAAGTACAAGAACGAACAAATAAAAAGCACCAGAAAATACAAGCCAGGGTACAAAGTATATACTTCAAACTAAAGTCCCTAAAACCAGTAACTACTACCAAACCATGTTCTCCCACGCCTCGCTGCAGCAGCAAAGTAGACTTGGACCCAGTCATCTATAGCACTAATCCACCTCGACCTGCAGTACCATATATGGAGTACAACACTACTAGTACTACTACTGTGGGACACAGCAAGTACCCATCGTGTATCCACTACAACTCAAAAGTGATAGTCCCCAATCCGTCACCTGGCAGAATATCATTCCAGGGATGGATGGGATCGGTGGAGGAGGGGCAAAAGGCAAAGCAAACAGTCGTACAGAATATTATTTCTTTCCCCTCAAGAAGAGCATATAAATACCCTCCTGGTTCCCACATCCTCCCTCATTCTTATTCTTGCTCATTCACTGCTGTTCTGTTCACTGCAAAAAGATACTTTCCCTTACCTCGAATACTTTCATAGTATATACATACATACTACTATACACCCCATCTACCACCATGGCCCCCTGCGAGTGCAAGTGCTGCTCTGGCAGCTGCAACTCCTGCTCTTGCTCTAACTGCAAGGTGTGTACCCCGCCAAATACTATATGGCACCATAGCTATGAGAGGATAGTATGGGTGTCCAAAGGAGACTAACGACGGTTCAACTACTATAGCACTAAGCAAATCAACCCATTGCAATACAATTTTTACTATGACAACAACGACGTCCTTTCCTGTCATTCTCGCCTCGCCACGCCTCGCATAGTTTGCTATCGTTGAAATATTACAGAAAAGCAAAGAAAAAAACAGAAGATGTCAAGTGCAGATGTCTTGCTCGCTATTGTTACGGCTTCTTTGGCTCGATGCGACTGTTGATTTTAGGGGAGTGGGATCAAGGTCATCGGTGTAGGGAGATTGGCTGCATGCTATGTATGGGAGAGATGAGGTTATGACTTTTGGTTCTTTACTACTCACATTGAGATGTCTTGAGTGTTCAAACGTATATATTTCTTATTCATTCTATTTGTTTCGCTTTGTTTATTTATTTAACTTGCTTCATTTGGGTATTGCTGGTGATAGCGTAGATTCATGCAGTAGCCGGAGGTCGGGGCACAAAGTAATATTTTCCTAATTATATGTCAACTGATTTTATAGGTCGATCTCTACTAGATCTGAAAATATGCATTCATTGCTATGGATTTAGGTTGTTTTGAAATTGTGTATGTCTAGCATCGAGTGACCATTCATCCATCCTTCTAGTAACTATTTTTGAGCTAGCTTGAAGACTACTAGTTTGCCTGGTATATCATGTACGATAGACTTTAGAGAACCGGGCCATGAAGGGGGGTCAGCAGGACATACTGCATGCATGCTATGACCACCAGCAAGTTCGTGGTTTATCACATGCCTCTTTTGTATGGTCTACGGTAATTTGGCTGTCTAGGCATGTCATAGTATGAGGGAACAAGGTATGGAACAATCAGCGTAGCATCTTCTATTACTACTCCATGAGATCTAGATCAGATAGGTACAAGCAGGTCGTCCTCCGATTCTATTCATATGGCCCTTTAAAGCGATAAGTTTATTTCTGTATGATAAAAACAAAGAGCTATCAGTATAGTCTTCAACAAGTAGTTGAGAAATATGGAAACGTACGGGGCACTGGCACTGGCCGGCGGGGCACTGGCAAGAGGCGCCGCAGCTGCAACCGTGGTCGTTACCTGTGGGTGAGCGACGTTAGCAACCTTGTATACCCAGTTGATAACAAAATATTATGAAGTTATATGAGCAAGAGGATTTGCCAGGGCACAGATGACGAGTCGAAGCAAACATCAAACAGATTCAAAGTCCCATCCATCCATACCCCGCACTAGTAAACAAACAAGGATGCTTCAAGGGGACTAAGCAAAACACTTACCCATGATGACTGGTTTTAAAGAAGTAGAAGAGTCTTCTGGATTTGGGTGTCAAAGGACAAAAGTCTTCTTTTTCTCGAAGATGGAAAGAAAAAGTGGTCAGGGTGGTGGCAGTGATTTGGGAGACGGGAAGAAAGAGAGAGCGGGGTATTTATAGTTGCGAGGGTCTTAGCGGGTCTGAACTTGAGCACATTTCTGCACGTCGTCTCCAGTCACCACCGCCAGCCATCTTCCTGACTGGATACCATCTATCCTGTTGCTGCAGGTTGGTCGTAAGCTCTTTTCTATGCTTGATGCAGCAGGGCAGATGCATGGATTACTACATCATTGTTTTTACTCTTGCTTTCTCTCCCAGCTAACATTATATTGTGACCCAGATAGTGAATGACCTGCAGCTGAACTCGATCAAGCACTCTACAGTGAGATAAATTCAACTACTTTTACAGCTATTGGCCGACCGTTGAACATGCAGGGGGACAAGGTGACACCAATTTCTTGCCTGTGTGGAGATGTGGCACAGGAAGTCGAGCTGAAGCAGTCCGCCAACCATTCGGCACTCAACTTCTGTCATTGCACCGCCTGTCGCACGGTCACCGGAATGCTGTGCTCTACATACTACACCCTGCAGGCTGAGCCAGAGATCCTTGACAGCCTCCAGGTGTACCAGGAAGCTGATTGCATAAGCCGCTACTTTTGTAAGACTTGTGGCGCTCATGTCTTTGCCCACGCCAAAAACACAGGGCAATTTTTTGTCGCAGCCGGACTGCTGGTGGGGAGACTACCCCCGACTAATTCTATACGGCATTGGCGGGCTGCCGAGACGCGTGATGGTGGCCTGACGCCCTTTCTCTCTGGACAGCCAGAAGAATCTGCTCCAGCATGTTGGCTACGCACTGTTCCGAGCAACCAAGCAAGCCATACCGAGGTCGGACTCGAGCTCTCGTCCCGGGATTCTGACGAGCTACTTGCCCGTTGTCATTGCGGGGGCGTTGAATTTTATATCACGCGGCCCGATTCTTCATCCACTAAGCCAACGTCACCGTGGTCCGATCTGCTCGCACCGTATCATTCAAGCTCCTCAAGCAATCCACAAGACGTGAAGTGGTGGCTGCAGGATGAAAATACTAAGTATTTGGCGGGTACCTGCGCCTGTCCATCCTGTCGTCTAGCCAGTGGTTTCCCCATTCAGCCATGGGCGTTTGTTCCTTTATCGAATCTCTACAACACCCGTAAGGCGCCACTGGCATTTGGCACCGGTACGATGCGGCAGTACAAGAGTTCTCCAGGCGTTTACCGCGAGTTCTGCAGTCGCTGCGGTGCATCCATCTTCTGGCACGATGACGAAAGGCCACTGCTGATAGACGTGAGTGTTGGCCTCCTTCGAGCAGAAGAGGGTTCTAGGGCCAGTGGGTGGTTGAAATGGGTCACGCAAAGAGTAAGTTTTGCGGAGATGGCAGCAGATCAGGCGTTGATCCAACAGCTGCAAAATGGGCTGAAGATATTTGGGGACGGAAATTAGGATGCACAGTAGTTTTGAACCATGCTTGCCATTCCATACGTTAACCGTATATTCATCTAGTTTATCTGGTTGTAGTAACTATAGCTGTTTAATGGGCCGGCGGAGATAAGGAAAAGTGGGATGGAGGGTTATCCTCACCGCTTTCCCAACGCAGCCCAAGACTTTCATTCCGCCGCCGCCGTTGAAAAAAAGATCCGCCAGGCGCGTCGTTGTGGGTTGATCGCATCTCAGCCTGTGTTGTCGCTGCAACTTATTTTCCCTTTTCTGATCCTATTTATTTTTTTGCTTCTCGTTCTTTCCCTTCCCCCGTCATGCCGCCGGCTTTCGAGTTCCGGGGAAATGACCGACGGTCTGGACACCATCCCCGACATGAGTTCACCTTCCGCTATGCGCGCCCTGGAACGTCCGAACGGCCGCTTTTGAGATCTAAGCGAGAGACGACCCCAGAACAGCTACTTCCCTCCGGCGCTGCAGACTCGAAACCAGCCCTGAAGTTCGCTCCTGTTGCGAACCTTAGCGATAGCGAGGAAGCTGATATGGACGTCTCTTCGGAGGATGAGGATGAAGCAGCCCACCCGCGCAAAAAGCGTGCGGTCGATCCCAACAATAGCGGCACCGCGACGGCTGCTCCAGCACCACCACCACCTGCCCCCAAATGGTCCAATCCCGACCCCTATACTGTCTTGCCTCCTCCGGACGAGACCCAGTCGAAGAGAGTGGACGTCGTCAAATTGATTCGCAAGGCCCGCATTGCTGCAACCGCGGCACAACCCACACAGGAAGATGCGGTGAAGACCAACGAGGACTTTATCTCGCTAAGTGGCTTGGTTGATGAAGATGAAGGCGGTGGAAACGCGCCCGAAGGAGCGCCAACCGGTCCTAGGCGCCAGCTAGAGGGTAAAGACTCGGCGTTTGGAAGCAGAAAGAGGACATACGATGATGAGATCAAGGGTGTCTCTAAGAAGACTGGGAAGCCGTTGAGCAAATACTATGATGATGGCTCAATTATTGACGAGTGGAGAGCCCGTTCATCGGAAAATGCAACACCGTGGGCAAGTAGCATGGCTCCCAGTCTGCATGTGGGCGCAAGGTGCGTGTTAATCTATGGTGAATAAGGAGATGTCATTCTGACCAAAGCAGGCTGCACAATGAGATTCTGAGCTTTTACCACTGGGTCAAACCGGTGCGCTATGAACAAATCGTGCGAGAGGACTTGGTGGCGAGGCTACAGGCTGCATTCCAGAGCAGGTACTATGGGGTGCAGCTTCGGCCATTTGGCTCCTTTGCCTCGGGTCTATACCTACCCACCGCCGATATTGACCTTGTTCTGCTCTCCACAAACTTCATGCGCAACGGTATCAAGACATTTGGTGAACGGAAAGGCCAGATCTACGCATTCTCTGCATTCCTGAAGAACCTGAACATAGCGGTGCCCAATTCTATCGAGACGATCGCACATGCCCGAGTACCTATTCTGAAGTTCGTGGATAAATTGACCGGTCTGAGAGTGGACTTGTCCTTCGACAACGACAGTGGGCTAGTGGCCAACGAAACCTTCCAGCAGTGGAAGGCTGAGTATCCTGCGATGCCTGTTATCGTGTCTGTCATTAAGCAATTCTTGCTTCTTCGAGGCCTCAATGAAGTCCCAACTGGCGGCTTGGGAGGGTTTTCCATCACTTGCCTCGTCACAAGTCTTTTGCAGCACCTGCCGCATGGCCATGGGACGCCAAATTTGGGCAGCGTTTTGATGGATTTCTTCGAGTTTTACGGTAACGGTTTTGATTACGATTCCGTTGGAATACGCTTCAACCCACCGGGCTACTTCAATAAGGTAAGCTATCTCAATGACAGTTTGTGTGCGTATCGACTAACGGATTTCCTGTGCAGAGAGTCTACAAGCTTTCTTTCAACAACAGTCCCCGTCTGTCGATTGAGGACCCCAACAATGCCGACAATGATGTCTCTGGTGGAACACGGGAAATTGCGTTGATTTTCAGAGCCTTCTCAGAAGCCTATCAACGTCTCAAGGAGCGCATGATATCCACAGCCACAGCAGGCCAGACGCAGGCCAGCATTCTGGAAGCCATCATTGCTGCAAACTATGAAGAGTACACCGAGCAACGGTGGCAGCTCAAGCAGGTCTTTGACACCGACGAAAGATTTGCCCGGTACCGTCGGGCTTCCACTCCTCCGCCGCCTCCTCCCGACTCTCCTCCGGCTGATGCGGCTCCACCGCTCCCTCCTAATCCCCCTCCTGCTGCACCAAAGTCGCAGAAGGATAAGATGACCAAGCTACAGAAAAAGCAACAAGCTGCACGGGAACGTTCGGCTCGTCTCAAGCGCTTGCGTCCCGACATACCATCCATTCCCTATTCGATCAGCAATGAGCAGGCTATCAGTCTAGGCGGCTACAAGTCGCAATCAGATATGGACAGAGACCTTTTGATGCGAGAGAAGGGGATGTAGTACCTCCCAGCCAGAGCTAGGGGCTTCTTCGAAGAAGTCGACTTAAGACTTGTACAGTTTTTTCTTTCGTCTTGGGTTACCAGTGGGCACATTTTCTGTATTATACCCTGGGATAATTTCTCTGTCTTTCTGATTTCTTGTCCGCCTTTGAGCCTCTGATACCCTCCTTTTTTTTTGGCTAAAAAGATATCTGGGAGCATGGTTTACATTGGGTGTTGCTGTTCATTCGGGATATCGGAGAAATGCTGAATGTGGACGACACTGTGGGCTATGTGCACGTGATGGACTGCTATGAAGACATCTAACTAACAAGCGCAATAGAAGCTGTGATTGATATCCATTCTTTGTCAAAGCTGGGTTGGTTTTCACATTACCTGCTGCCACAATCCATTGGTTAACAGTCATGTCGCTAACGCACACACACGTCTGTTACAGGCTTTATAGATTTCTGTGATGATCTTCAGGCCAGATGTGAGTATACACACAAACGGCTTGATATCGATCAGTCATCGGCCAACAGACCCAGACAGACTTCCTTCCATGACTTGGCTACGCTAGTAGCAAAAGCAGCAGCAACAGCAGCAGAATTGCAAATATTGATTGAAATTAGAAGCATGAATCGAATTGGTACCGTACGTTCACGGAGATCTCGCGTCTCTTGTGAATTTGCAACCTATACCTACTTCCCTCCCTTTTCCCGTATCCTTCTCATCAAGGGGGCGCTATATGCGATCGCTTGGAGAGGAAGAGAGAGAGAATCGGGAATTGTTGTGGAGTTTGGGTGGATTTGGTGGGATGTGGAGATTCGGCTTTTGTATTGCAAGGAAGGCAGGTAGCTGGTCTATTCTATGCATGTGTGCTGGAGTCGCATCAAGACCATAAACATCATGTACACGTGAAGATGATATTGCAGGATTCATATGCGGTCTAGTTTTGTTCATTGACGGGCATATCTATGCAGTGAGTAAGAGGATGAAAGAAGCATTGGAGCAAATATAGTCAAGTCTTAACGGTGCATATGCATAAGTCGTCATCAATCAAAGCCCCAAAACAATTAGAACGAAAAACAGAATAACAGTATCTTCAGTGATTACAGCGCAACATCAGGCGCTGCACCAGTGGGTATCTTTTCATCGGCATCAACTGCCTCCAAAGGCGGCGTAATCATGGGCTCATCACTAGCAGCAGCAGCATCATCCTTGTCTCTGGCAGCCAGATGTTCAGCAGACAATGAATTGACGAAATCCGGAGACGGGCTGTCCCAGGCATAATCTGCCCACTCTGGGCCCAGAATTGTCCGGATATGTTGAGCCAGAGACGAGATGCGACCACGTCTGTCTTTCGACCAGGCACGATCGGTAATGATCCCTTCCGAGGGGGTCAGGATAGCAGGCGCCTGTGCGGCAGAAGGCACAGCGGACGGGGGTTGCAGTTCCGAGGACTTCGGTTCAACGTCATCATCGTCGTCCTTGATCTCCAATCCATCCACGATGCTATGCCAAACACGCAGCGTCTCATCGAGCTCTTCGAAGTTGCTCACGCCCATCACACTAACTCCTAGTCTTTCCCCGGTGCCCATACCAGCCACGGAGATAAATCCCGGATCAGCATCCCCAACCCTAACCAGCGGCGCACCCAACGCGCCAACCTGCTTTCCCTCGCGCAACCAACTCTCCAACGCAAATCGGATAGCCACAACCTCCAACTTCTCCCCCTGGCCATCGACCCACTCCGACACCTCCCGGATCTTATTCCGCAATCCATCCGGTGCGGGATGGAAATCACCCATACTTCCAATCGGCACGCCCTGTCTCCGCAACAGACCCATCCCCAACGGCGACGCATTCGTAACAACGTCCACACCAGCACTCACGAACCTCGGCAATCCCCGCGACAAGAGTCTCGTGTTCTGCAGCGTGTAATTCGCATACGACTGCACGATATCTAACGGCTCGCCGGTCTCGCGGAGGACCAGCTCCGCTATCTCCGCCAACACGTCAATGGGGAACCCCGAGATGCCGACATACTTGATGGTTCCCTCGGTATCGCGGATGCGACGCAATTCACGGATAGCGGTTAGGGCTTCCTGGCGGGAAACGAACTCGACGTCGTGGCAGTAGACGACGTCTAGGTAGTCGGTGTGTAGGCGCTGGAGACTGCGACGGACGCTTTGGCGCACCCAGGCAGGGGAATAGTCAAAGGAGGAGGAAGCGATGCGGCCGACTTTGGTGAGGATGTGGTAGGATGAGCGGGGGTGGTGGGTGCGGACGTAGTCGGTGGCTAGGGCGCGGCCGAGGAGTTCTTCGGCGGGACCGTAGTAGGGGGATGTGTCGAAGGCGCGGATGCCGGAGGTGAAGGCGCGCTGGACCAGTTCGGTGGTGGGGAGGGCGAAGGGGTCGTGGTTGTATTGGTTGTTGAAGGTTGCGGTGCCCATTATCAGTGGCGGGAGGGCCGCTGAGAGGGGGGTGGAGGGCCGGGGCATTGTTGGTTCTTTTCTTCTGTCTGTGTTTCTGTTTTGTAGGGCTGATGATGAATAGTAGGAGGGAGAGTATTTACAATAAGGAATGGGAGGAAGAGGGGTGAGAAAAGTAAAAGAGACAGAGGAAAAGAGAGGATGGCGAGGGGAAATAATAAAAGGACAAAAGGAGGGGAAAGAAAAACTGCGGCGGAGATAAGAATCTCTTCCGGGCAATATTCCCCGCTGGGGCGATTCCGCTCCGCGATGGCGCCATGATGGCTGACGATGAGCATTACTTTATGATCATTAAAAGATGGAAAGATTACTTCTCAAGATTGACGTTGACAATGCTAACATTTGTACACAATTCTCAGCGGAATCATGACCTTCCACGCAATTCGTGGAGGGTACTAAAGTACAGGTATCAATCCTCTGAACAGGACACAAGAGGGGAGAAGGGATCATTAAGAACAGGAAAAGGAAAAGAACACAAAGATGGGATCATCCTTGTGCTCTGCCAGGCTCGTAGGCCCTTCGTCTTTCGAATAATATACACATATACTCTCAGTCAGGACGGAGAATGGCCCGGCGAAGGCGCAACAAACACCAGACTGTCTGTCGACTCAGCCTGGAATCCGATATGCCATATGCCCTTCACTCAAACCGAGTTCATCTGCCTTGACGAGATGCAAGCCACCGTATAGAATATAGGAATCTAAACTCTTTCCAAGCTGCAAGTTGGAATCACCAAAACGCCATGCTATGCCGCGAAAACCGAGAGGGAGAAAAACAGGAGGTCGAGGGGATCTTTAAAAGGGGCTTCCAATGGCCGGCGCAACTGCTTCGACCCTGTTGATGAGAGCCAAGCTTAAATCGATCGAAACGCAAGATCTCCCAGATGGCAGCCCGAGAGCAATCAATCATTCCTGAAGAAGTTGAGCTGGGTGCTATAGGCAGAAAGGGACGCATTCACCGGTCCTTATATACCTTGGGCTTCCAGCCTTCGCGCAGTTCCTTCTCCTCGGCGACCTTGCGCTCGGCCTGTCGAATCTCCATCTCTAACCTTTCCCGGGCCCGAAGAATCTTGCTTTGTAGGTAGAAACTACCACCTTTCTGGGGATCGTTGAGGTCGAACAGCTTCTTGAAACGCTCCATCACTTGCTCCAGGTTGGCCTCGCCGTTTTGCGGCGGCTTAACGTTGAGAATCTTGCAGGCCTCGTCGAGAGTCAATCCGGAAGACATGCTGGCGCCGACCTTCTTGCCCGTCTGCGCGGCGTACTTGGAGGAGGCTTGGGCTTGCTTGTAGGCCTCGGCGAAGGCCTTGCCGAAGACACGGGCGCCCGTGACGACGACTTGAGTGACGATACGATGAGCCTGTTGGGTGAGAAGGGAGCATGGTTAGTATATCTGAGCAAATGGTGCCGATCGGGATGGAGAAGGCATCATATTGGCTTCATGAGTGGAAGGATGTCCACATACCATGATGACTGGAGTTGACAGCCGATGAACGGACTTTCAAAAATTAATCAAAGCTCCAGGAGCGACGGCGAACAAAAGAAATGATGTGACCGGGGAGTAGTGGAGGGAGTCCCTGGCTGGATCAAGAAGGGAGCGGAAAGCGGATTCGATGGCGATGGAAACAGACGGAGAGGGAAAAATTCGGCAGCGCTTTAGTCCGTTTTGCCGTACCGCCGCGGCCTGAGGCGACCCCGGATTGGTTCCTGGATTGGATGTACTGACTACTAATTTAGTAGACTAACTATTGGACTGATGATGACGGGGTTGCGATGTTTGACCGTCAAAAAGAAAGCATCTATCCCCTACTTGATACTTCAGCTGCTGTACCTCTGTAGATTATTCAATAAAATCAAATGATGATCTGTTATTTGCAGGGTTTCCCTGTGTGTCTCTCCTCTGGTCCTTTACTCGATGCATCGCATCTATACGAATGTGACTGTCACTGACGGTATCCATACCCGCCTGTCACTTCAAGTTCCCACATTGTGTACTGTGTAAATTCTAGTATGGTATGGTATTATCCGGTCCAGGCAGGCTGTCACATGTTCCGAGCAGCAGACGAAAAGCTTCAATTCTCAGCTGCACCCGCGGATCTCTGGCTATTCCCCCCTTCCATCCCCGCAGATGATCGGCCTCCAGAGACCTTGTCTCTAACTTTTGGTCCCCCATCTTTCGTTGGGCCCGACCAGCATTTATTGTGTGTCTCTCGCCCTTTTCCTTCTCCTCTCTCTTCTCCGCGTCTCACCGCCCGCAATGACCTTGGATGCATATGACGTCTCTGTTGTTGGATGGCAGCTCTCGGTAGGTGATACAAACAAATGCACTTTCTGACTCTGACAACTCTCCACTTCTTACATCCTTCGAATACCTGGTCCACGTGGACGAGCCGCTCTCATCCCACTACCGCCCCGAATACTAATGTCGCGACAGAAGATATTCCGTGGATAGATTCCATGGCCCCATCATCATCCACGCAGGACCATGCTGACTCTCAGCCTCCGACGGTCGCTGCTTTCTCCCCCACCACCATCTCAGGCTCGTCCGTGACATCGAGACAGCGCTCCAGCATCATCGTGCATCGCAAATCGCCGCTACTGGTGGCCACGCCCCCTCAGATCACCCGGGCATTGGCCTACTCGCATCCGTTTATTCTCCCCTTGAACAAGCTCGTTGGATTGCTCACATGGACGACCGGAGACGGTTGGCAGAGCTTCCTGCTGGTAGCGGGATTCTGGACGCTGGTTCTCTATGGCGACGTGATCGTTACTTGGACCGGGCCACTCCTCGTGGTCATTAGCCTTATTCTGGGCATGTACTGGAGACGCTACTCCCCGCTGTCGTCGAGGGCTCACTTGAGTGAGAAGCAAGGCCATCAGAGGGCTGCTTCGGAGACATTTCCTCATCGGCATGAAACGTTGGACGAAATAGTCGAGACGCTACGGACATTTACCACACGTTGCAATATTCTCCTGGAGCCACTCGTTGAATTTACCGACTTCTTATCCACGCAGAGGACGGCGACTTCTGCCACTACCCGACCAGCTCTTACGACATTATTCTTTCGAATCCTCTTCGTGACCCCAATCTGGATCGCCTTGACTCTTCCGCCGTTGTATCTGATCACCACTCGCCGAGTCATCATGACACTCGGCACCATCATTCTCACCTATCACTCTCGCCCGGCAAGAGTATCTCGTGTCATTCTTTGGCGATCGTTAACAATCCGCCGGATATGCTCTATAATTACGGGGCTATCCTTCTCTTCTACTGTTGATAAGGCGCAGTCGCTGTTAATGCAGAGCCAGGGCCATGCAATGAGCATTGCGACAAGACGTCGAGGAGACTCTTCCGGTGTAAGATTCACCTTTGTCATCTCTGAAAACCAACGTCGTTGGCTTGGGATCGGCTGGACGTACTCTCTGTTCCCTTCCGAGCGAGCTGCTTGGACAGACGAGCATTTGAACCACGTCCCGTCGAAGGAGGAATTCGAGTTACCCGGTGTCGCAAACGGCAATGCTCAGTGGCGCTGGGTCGAAGGGAGTGACTGGCGTATTGAAGGGGCCGACGAGTCAGGAAAGTCGGATGCCAAAGCCGATGGCGGAGGCTGGGTCTACTATGACAATAAGGTGGGACACATTGTTTCCCATTTTCTGACAAATGTCCAGGTGCCAGGGTTGCTAACAGCATGGGAACAGTGGAATGACGGTCGTCGTGGCCAGGATGGTTGGGATCGATACACCCGTCGTCGGAAGTGGTGTCGTGACGCCGAACTAGTTGAGATTCCGTCAGCGGGCGAGAGCACCTCAGTGGAGACTAAATCGGGGATCGCTCAATCATTGGAGCAGGAAAAGGCAGCTAACGCCCATGAAAAAGAAATCTCATCGACGGTCGACGCCGACGCAGAAAGTCTCGCCCCATCGACCTCATCCAAGTCCCGCAAACGACGTTGGTTTGGGAGTACGAAGAGTGTAAGCGACAAAGCCAGCAGCATCTCCTCTGCTCCACCAACGTCCACGAATAACTCCTCCGTAGATCTCGGAAAATTAAAGTCCGCCACCCCTACCGGCAGCTACACGCCAACTGGGAAGTCCACCGCAACTGCAACCCGACCCATCAGTATTCCGCACGCCCGGAAGATGTCCAATCACTCGGGAGGCAGCGCCAGTCACAGCAGCAGCTTCGGCCGTGAGGGAAGTATCAGGGAGAAAGAGATGTCTCTTGCTCAGGATCGTCTGGACCGCTGGGGCACTCGCGCCACGGGGGGTACTGAACGAGCCGAGCGAGAGATGGGGTTAGGTGATGAGGTCAATATGGGATTGAGCTGAGCTACTGAGTCATGGAGCAGGAGGTGAAGCACACTGCGATTGGTGGCATCTCAAGAGAATGGCATTTTCTTTATTCAGAGCGGACTTCTTATTAATTATTTCGGGCTTTTATTTTGCGTCAGGCGGATGGGTGTTTTTGGGTACTTCCTTTTCTAGCTTATATTCTTATTCTGTGCGGTTTAACGCCTTGACGAAATGGAGATACCCTTGTTTACCCAAGAGAAGATCGAACTTGAAGGCTAAATGCTCGGAATAGTGTGCGTTAGTTGACGACTTTCAAGGCTGGTTACTCGGTGGTCAACATCAAATTCATTAAATGTCTATATTTAGTATCTATAGTATCTAAGCGAGAATCAAATCCCACTGTAACCGCTCCAACATGTCCAACCAATGCACATCCCCTTCTCCAGCCCACAGGATACTCAACATCTCCTTTGCTCTTCTTACATTCCCGATGCCAAAGTTCGCCTCTAACTTACTCAATGACTGTATAATGAGCTCCTGGTCTGCAGGATCCCTGCTCTCGCAGCCGGCGATGAAGAGTGGGAATGTAAGGGCAGAGTATTCACAGTGTTCGTCGAGTGGGAAAGCCCTGATTCTGCTTAGAAGTTGGTGTAGTGCGGTTGATCGGGGGAGGGAGATGGATGGTGATGGCGCCGGTACTAATTTGGATGACGCTTGTAGTGCCAATGGTAACGGAGTAGCAAGTGGTAATGATGGCGGTGACGCCATTCCCTGGTTCAGTCTCTCCAGGGTAGAATGAAGATAGAGGTATGCGGCGTCGCGGAAGCAGTTGGCTACCATGCGGAGACGGACGAGGTTTGATTCAGTTATGCCTCGTGGGATGATGTATGTGGTGTTGGTGGGGGCCCAGTCGCGGAGGGATGTGTCTCTGCGTGTGGTTGTTTGTTAGCTTTGGTTGTGTATGTTGTTGAGGGTTTACTTACATCGAGTGGACTTCTAGGTCCAAAGCTACAGGGTCTTCGGACAGTGTGGGGAGGTCGGCTATTCGGGCACAGATCTTGATGAGGTCTTCTGCGTAGCCGATGTAGATGTCGAGCTTGGAGATTTTGACGTTGCCAATGTTAAGGTCATAGTTGATGTGTTTGCGGTTGTTAATTCTAGCCATGTTATAGGCGTAGACGTAGCTATGGTGGGGTTAGCTCTCGTTCAAGGCGGCTTGGTTGTAGAGAAGGTCTTACAAGCCGCTTAAGAATTCTCTCATGTCATCGTTGAGAGCATCAACTCCACCCCGAGCCATTATGAGCTCTTGCAGGGCGTTCAGATGCACGGTCCACTGCTGAACACTTCCGCGTACGATCTCGTACTTGCAAAGCATGGCCACTGCTAGAATGGCCTCATCGGGAAGACTCCGCGGTGAATATTTAGCAATTGTCAACTGCAGCCCACTCAGTGTTCGAACGTAGTAGTCTGTCGCGGCTGTTTGGGCCTCCTGTTTGTCCCGGGACCGATTTGCAAAATGCGTTGCAGATACCGCACACAGGGCCTTCATCAGAAGAGGCGATGACAGGGCTCGAGGTATAAGAAACGATCGAAGAGGATTGTCGATACTCTCAAGGTTGGCTAGTAGCTTGGAGCCCAGCTCGGTGTGATACTGGAGATAGTGCGTATCATGATGCGACAGATGACTAAAGTACCTACTTGGTATGGGTGGAGCGACGGTGAGTGTATCGCAGGCGTCAATGTTAGGTATTGTAACCTGCATGTCTCCATATTCATTGTCTTCATTATTCCAAGAGTATAGACTGTTGTTGTCAGAATCAGCCGGAGTTGTTGGCGCTGTTGATAGACTGCTCGATACTGGGGAGCTCGGGTACAGCCAGAGCTCTTCTTCCGGGCCACGCGAGAAACTCGTTGAAGAAGATGCTGTGCTAACTCTGCGCCGTTTTGGTGCTCTGAACTGATTGAAGACATTTGCCGATGGATCTAAAGGCTCTGCCCACATTGAGCCATAACCCTCACATTTCAAGCCCAATCTGGCGCAGCTATGACAGCTATTGTAATCAAGCAGTTAGTGCCTAGTGTAACCTAGTACCAGGGACGGACTCCATCATACCAGGGTTTCGCTTCATCACACCGCTTCCGACGACGCTTGCATGTCAAGCAGCCAGACCGTGTCCACTTGGCGCCTTCTCGTCTGCATCTCCGCCTCGTCGGGGTCTGAGCCGAAGAGGGTTGTTGCACCATGATTGCAGTATTGGATACTGTCATGGGTTAGGAGCAGATTTGTAACGAACGATAGTTATTCTAGGCTATCTAGAGTTATATGAAACGACCGCTGTTGGTTTGTTCTCTTTAGTACGTGGAACTAGTATTGATTCTGGTTAGGTGAAGCCGGCATAGATGTATATTCCGGCAACGTGCACCAGCCGGATATTAGGTAGTAGATGGACCCTGGAGAAACACCAGCCAATAGACTGGCAGTCGCACCTTTCAGGAAATAAGCCGGCTGACCGTTAGTCCGAGTCACCAAACAATTGTACCTTGCTTGAAGCAGACCGAATGGAAATTGTTGAAGGACAGAAAGAGAGACGAAGGATGAGCCTCCAAGAAGGCCGGGGAAATGTCGACGCTAAACCAGATAGGGAAGGAGATACGCTCTGACTTGGCAGTATTTATCGAGGGATGGAGAAGAATTCCCCGCTTTTCGATAGTTATTCCTTTGCTGATGAAGATCTCCGGGTGAGTTATTGAAGAATAGCAAAGGAGAGATGATGATCGAGTATGACATTCGAGTACTGACAATCGTGCTCGTTTATCTAGCAAGCATGTGGCTACAAAGATAAGAAAATGGACAGCCGTTATCGGCGGGAAGGGGAAGGGGGAGAGAGAGATTATCGTCTACTCCGATCTGCTGGATGCCACTATACGGAAACAGATATGTTGATGGGATGAAAGACCCATATTACGTCTCTCGGCAATCGAGCTGCTTTGCAACGCTTATCCTCGCGTTCCTCGGACCCCGAAACGGAGGAGGAAGACCGCAAGGGGAATTCTATGACCAATGCACGGCGGCTATCAGACTGTCAATCCATGGCAGATTGGCAATCCTTGAGATCTTGAAGCCGCAGTCCCAGACTTACCGCCGCCCCACTTGTCCCAATTAGGCATGTCCATCCAGACCCGTGGGGATGCTTGCGATTCTTGCGGCTTCACCATCTCCATGAACTTCCCTTTTTCGCCTTCGTGCTGGGTCCCTCGCTGGAAGGGAGGTGT